TGGAATTCAAGTTCACACTGCAACCTGAGGGCTCTCCTGTGTCCCTGCCTGTGTGTTTTCTCTGTCTTTGTTGTCCTATTTGATTGCTTCTTTTGTGCCTAATTCTTCTCTTGGCACCACTCTCTGAAGAAAAAAACTCTCTCGCTCTCTGTCTCTCTCTCTCTCTCTCTATATATATATATATATTCATCTTCCACTCACTACCACTTGTGATTGCACTCAGCCTTACTCAAAGTAGTCACTGCCCAGAAATGGTCAGAAAATATTATGCAAGACGTTAAGGCAGAAACAAAACACGAAGATTCTGATGCATGGTAAACTGGAGTTCCCTTTTGGAGTATAATTTAAGAATAGACTCAAATGGAAGCTCCAGGACAATTTTATTAAAGTTTAAAAGTCACTCTGGCCCCCTGCCGCCAGGAGGCTGGAGAGATGGCTCAGTGATTAAGAGCACTGTTCTGCCCTTCCAGATGCCCTGAGTTCAATTCCCAGCAATCACATGGTGGCTCACAACGATCAATAATGGGATCTGATGCCCTCTTCTGGCATGCAGGTGTATGTGCAGATAGGCATTCATATACACAAAATTAGTAAATAAATCTTTTTTAAAAAAAGAAAAAGAGCCCTTCTCCCATGCCCCATGAAGGTCAGCTATAAGTCTCAGCAGCTGCCTAAAAGAGGGGAACAAAAGACATAGGAAAAGGCCATATTGTTTAAGCTGGTAAGGAGGTTAGAACCGCAGTGGGCTGGCAGTTTGCGTGTGAGTGTGTTTTTAATTGTAGAGAGCTTCAGAGAAAGAGTAAGGAAGCCCAAATTGTTGGAAAGCTCAAAGAGTAAGGGAAAACATACTTAGAGGAGAGACTGAAGAAAGGGAAAGTTATGCTTTTCTGAATAATTTCGGAAAGTGGACAGACTTAACAAAGCTGCTTGCTCAAGCCTGGTAAGCCACCGTTAGGGGTGGAGATTCTGAGAAGGAAAAGTACCACTCGTCATTAAAGGACTAATTATCCCTCCAATCTGTTGTAACGGAATCCACCTTGTTAAGGGTGGTCCCTTGACCGGGAGACTGACTCGCTCAGCTGGAATGTCAGCACTCCACCCTGGCCAGACACTAATCTCTTGCCTAGAAGGAGTTTTCTCCTAATGAGCCGTTACTGGTGCTGCGACAATTCCTGGCTGCCCATTGTGGTAGGGAGTAAACAAATACCCTGTATCAAGCTCTTTCCATTCTGAGGAGTTTTCAGGAAAAGATAAGACTGCCTACTTCAGCCAGGCGTGGTACTTCATGACTTTAATCCCAGCAGGCTACGTGGTGAGATCATATCTTAAAAAAAAAAAAAAAAAGTCTACTTTAGGAAACTATTAGTAATCTATTAAACAACAATTTAACAAGCACTCTACAGATGTCATGCATCATGTTATGTTTTACGCAATTCCTCACATTTAAGCTACATAACTCTATGACACAAAACTACTCCCACTTTATAGACATGGAAACCGAGGCTGTTTTCCAAGATCACACAAAAGTCACTGGCAGAGTTGACCTTATCCAGACTGGTCTAGTGTCGGGTGACGAGGCTCTTGTCATGGGAGAGAAGTCAGAATGTGTGTGTGTTGATAGGCTTCCCCTGCCCACCATCACAAAGGGGACTGAGGCTCTGAGGTAAATTACCCTGTTTTTACCAGGAGACTGGAGTAGAAGCTAGGTCTACAGTTGGATATGCTCCAGATCTTTCTTTCTTTCTTTCTTTCTTTCTTTCTTTCTCTCTCTCTCTCTTTCTTTCTTTCTTTCTTTCTTTCTTTCTTTCTTTCTTTCTTTCTTTCTTTCTTTCTTTCTCTCTGATAAAACTAGCCTGGCTGTGGTGGTGCACACTTTTAATGCCAGCACTCAGGAGGCAGAGGCAGGTGAATCTCTGTGAAATCAAGGCCAGCCTGGTCTACAGAGCATTCCAGGACAGCCAGGGCTAAAACAGAAAAACTCTGTCTTGAAAAACCAATAACAAACACACATTTTATATATGCATATATATTCCTTGCTTCCCTGTTCACCCAGGCCAGCCAGAAGGAGGAAACAAGTAGATTGCCTGAAGGAAACTAGACTGCAACAGAACTTGACAGCAAGTACAGGAATTGAAAAACCTGCAGACTCATGCAGTTGTTGCCTATTTGTTAAATCAATTCAACTTCCCATATTCATTCCGAAAGCTTCCTATCTGTTAGGGATTGTTCTACATTTGGGGCAGAGTGGTGAGCCAGCCATCTGTAGTCCCTGCTTCTCTATCTGCAAGGAGAGGTAAAGAATCCTAATAGTACAGCATGTGCTTCAGGAGTTGGACCTCCAAGAGACTCTAAAACAAGCGAGACCCTCCCCTCTGAATGAAATAATGAAATAAGAAGAGGAGGATGACATGACTACTCCTGAAGTACGGAGAAGATTTTTATTGTAGGTAGAAGGGAGAGGGGAGGTAGAGGGAAGAGCCCAGGTTAACATGGCCGGCTGAGAGGAGAAAGAAAGGAGAGCAAGAGAGGAGCTGCTGACCAAGAGTCCTGTGTGGCCAATATGGCAGGATTATATAAGGATCAGGCTTGGGGAAGGGTAGTGGAAGCCAAGCCCCTGGGAATGAGAGGTTTTGGGTAGGGGTCTGGGTGAGGAATGCTGGGAGGAGCCACAGGTACTGAGTGAGGCTGGGATTTCTGGCCAGCATCAGCTTTAATGTGTTAATAGGCACCCTAGTTAGCTCTCTGTGGTGTTTCTGAGACCTAACAGCCTCCAAAGTTCCAACTGGGGATATGCCCAACTCTTCATAGTCTCATTGCCACCACCCCTCCAAGTTCAAGTATGTGTGAATATGAATATGAACAAGCCAGAATTTCTTTTTCTTTCTTTTCAAGCCAAGGTCTATGTTGACTTTCCTAGTAGACAGGTTGGCCTTAGACACTGAGAGATCAGCTTGCCCCTGCCTCCTGAGGGCTGGGGCTTAAGGTCTCTTTCTTAGATTATTGCTTGTTACCTTCTCACAGCTAAACACACAGCATTGCTAAAATTCTATGGAAGCCAGCCCCTTGTCTACCTCTCTAGGTTATTTCAGTCCTTAAAGCAGGCTTCTAAGCACAGGGTCAGGAGTGCTCTCCGAAGGTGTCTGACAGGCGTGTGTGTGTGTGTGTGGGGGGGGTTTGCTAAGTTGAAAGACTTCAGACCTTGCACATTCAGCCTCTGTGTATGCTGAAGAAAACAGTTTCTGATCTAAGAAACACAACTAGTGGCCAAAGTTCAACCTCTTGGCACATAGGTAGCTCAAAAATGATTATTCGGCCATGTGGGATGGCACACACCTTTAATCCCAGTACTTGAAAGGCTGAGGCAGGTGGATCTCTGTGAATTCCAGATCAGCTTTAAGGAGGGCTACATAAGTCACACCATGCCTCAAAAAGTAAATGAAAATAAACAAATAAACAAAATGACATTAACTTTAGAGTCTCAGACCAGAATTTGAACTTTTTGGAAGTCCTGGCTGTGAGTTGGAGCTAGGAAGGGTTAATAATCAACTTTGGCAGGTTTTTTGAGGCTAAGAATGAGAAATATGCACCTTGTACTTTGCCTTAAAGACCTGCCACTTAGCTGGGTAAACAAATGGGAAAGCATTAACAGTTCAGTTTTGGAAGCCAGGGAGCAGTGGTCCTTAGATTTTAGCATCTGAACTCACTAGAGGTCATTTGCTAAGGTCTGCAAACCTGCCCCACCCCCATTTTCTGATTCACTAGATCTGAGTTTGCGCATTTACTTTTTCTGCTTACTCTCAGGTAATGCCACAGCCGCTGTGTTGACAAGATTCTCTTCTTGACCAAACTTTGGTCAGGCTCTCCTGAGCTTTTCTGAAATAGAAACCGACCTTGGATCCCGGGTCCACTCTTTTATATAGAGAGTATAGCTTTACCAAGAATCCTGCAAAGTCAGTTAGCAGGAATCATCCACCCTTTTTAAGCGATCACCCTCAATATTTGATAAGGTTTCTCCTCCACTGTCTCCCAAAGGACATCTGAGCAGCCTGGCTTGCCTTCGGCAAAGCAGGTGTTAAGTCTTGTCACGTTGCTCCTTATCCTTGCTGTTTCCTCTTAATTTTCCATCCATCGAACCCCCACCCCAATAAATCCCGTCTTTGTTGTGCCGAGGCTTGAGGCCAACCTCCCTCCCCCTACTGCAAAACCCTACTCAACAGTGGCTCTTACACCTAACACAATGGTCCATGAAGAAGTTTACCTCACCATTCTGTGTGCACCTGTGGAGGTCACGTGACAAACTGGGGTGTCAATGGTCACCTTATTTTTGTGAGGATCGCATCTCGTTTGCTGCTGCATATGCCAGTCCTGCTGGTCCGTGAGCTTCCGGATATTCCCTTATTTCTGCCTTCCATCTCACCTAGGCATCTCTCGTTACAGGCACTCATTACTCTGGCCATACTGAGTTAGGGGCCCCCAACTGTAAGCCCTCACACTCGTGTTGGCAAAGGCTTTAACTTCTGAGCTGAGCAGCTCTCCAGCTCCTCTCCCTGTTAAGCTCTCAGAAGACTCAGGAGCTCAATTCCTAGCTCACAAAAACGTTTCAGTCTTGGCTCCGTTATCACTCACTTCTCTTCTTCTGTTATCTCACCTGTGAAATCTGGATACATATTATTTCCTGGCTAAACTGTAAGAGCAAAATCTGGCACAGCATTTGGTAGAAGTTGGTCATAGCTCATTATGTATTCATTTTGGGGGGTAGTGACTCGACAAAACCCGGGTTTAGATGGCCACAGCAGAGCAAGGGATTAAGTCCTTGTTCTGTATAGGCACACAGGGACAGATCTGAGAGGCAGGTATTTCCCGGTACAGCCCTGCAGGACCGCCTTGGGCCTGGAACGAACGCCAGGGACTGCCAGGGCCTAGAGGCCCGGCGTCGACGCGCAGGCGCAGACCCGCTAATGGCTACGCTCTATGCGCATGCGTGCTCCGGGGCCCTGGTCCATGTGGCTCGCTAGCAGAGGAAAAATGGCGGCGGCGATGCGGGCGGTGGCGGCTGGAGCGAGGCTCGGCGTTCTGGATTGCGGCCTCCGCGCCACGGTCCGGGGCCTCTGCAGCCAGCCTGTCTCGGTCAACGAGCGCATCGACAAGAAGCGCCGAGCCGCGCTGCTGGGCGGCGGCCAGCGCCGCATCGACGCGCAGCACAAGCGAGTGAGTCCGGGGCCGCCGGCGCGTCCCGCCCCCTCCGCCCTCGGCCTATCGCGGCGCGCAGGGCTCACGGCCCCTGGGGCCTCCGAGCCAATCGGCGCGGCGCCTGGGAGGGGCGCGGCGAGAACGCCTACCTGCTGAGCTACCTGCGAGGGACCCCTAGGTGGTCGGTGGACGAGGATGAGCGTCGGTGTGCTTAGGGAGGTCCGGCTGTGACTCTTGGGAACGTTAGTCTCTGGAAAGTGTCATAAACAGAACACCGCCTCCCCCATCTTGTTAAAACAAGATTGCTTCGCTAATCGACGACAGGCTCTCAGTTTGAAAGACCCCGCCATTCTTGCACCTCCTGAAAGAGTTTGTGGCAGTTTTTTTTTTTTTTTTTGGCGTGTTCCCCCTACCCCACCCCACCTCTAAGTGGAAGCAGGAAAACCCAGGCACGGAGTATTAGAAATAACTTGGTTACAATCACAGCAGCATGGGGTGGGCTGGGGTCTCCGTGTGTGTAGGGGACTTGTGATCCCTGTGCCCGAGGAGCTCAGATCTGTCCTCTTTGGGCGTGTATCGATCTGCTGGGTAGGAAGCGGGTACAGGCTGCTCTGCTGTCTGGCTAGAGTGGGCAACCAAGGTAGTGACACACTGCCTGGATTCTCAGGCGAGAGTCTCAGATGGACCGGAAGGGAAGCCTAAGGGAAGGCTACCGGTGAAGGGCACACGTGCCCTAGTCAAGTGTAGGGGAAAGCTGTGTCTCAAGTCTAGGCCAAATGTTGATTTAGATGCCCTGAGTTAAGCATCTGAAAAAGGCCCAAGGATAACTGTTCCTTTTGACACTTAAGAATGTAACTGTGGTTGAAAGGTTTGTGGTGAGCAATACGCAAAATTCCCTTGGGGTCCTGGTGAAGGGCCTTTTAAGTTTCCTGGGAAAGCCTGTCACTGCTCCTGTAAACTCCCTCTTGGGGCCTGTTGCTCAATTCCTCCCCAAGCGCATTGGCCCACTCCTCCCCAGGCAGATCCTGACGCCTTAAATAAGGTCTTTAGAGTTGGTTTTGGCCTTCAGAGCTGATTTAGTTGGGAGGCCGATTTGCATGCCTTTTTTCCATTATTTCTGTAAGGCAGATTTTCTAAAAGTGGACCAGAAAGTATGAATATTTAAAAATCAATCAATCTATCTATCAAATCTATCTATCTATCTATCTATCTATCTATCTATCTATCTATCTATCTATTTGTTGGATTCCTTCCCCAAAAGTAAATTTATTTTCCACAACCTCATTGACTTTTGCTATGTTCTTAAAATAACTAATTTGAAGGGTTTTTGTTTGTTTGTTTGTTTGTTTGTTTAATATGTATGTGTGTTGTTTTCTTGGCACATTGGACCAAGGAATTTATCAAGAGTTGAGGTTTGGGGAGCCTAAGGAGTGGAGTCTCTTGGTAGATTGAGGGACTGTGTCCTTCAACTTCATTTGTAAGAAGAATTTTCTTTAATTTTTGAGGTAGGATCTCATGAATCCCAGGTTGCCCTTAAACCAACGATTCCTCTGCTACCTCCCTAGCTCTGGGATTATAGTCCTTCACTACCATATGCGGTCTATATGGTCCTGGGAATCGAACCCAGGGCTTTTGCATATTCTAGGCACACCCTCTACCAACTGAACCTTATCTCCAGCCATTTTCTTTTCTTTCTGTCCTTGAAACAAACACCCCTCAACCAGAGAAACCCTTCCTTCAAACAAGCTCTCCAGCACTCTTTGCGCCTTCCCCCTTTACTGAGTGGCTCCCAGCTATGGGATCTTGGCTCTGCCGGCTATAGCGTCTTTGTCCAGAGATTCCCATTTGGGATGGAAGAAGAGAAAGCCTCTCTCTGTGAAGGTTGAGTGCCATGGGGTAGAGGGAGGAGTCCCCTGCCTGAGTTTCCTCCCTCCTCCTCCTCCTTGGGTTTCCTGCTTGCCTCCATCTTTTTCTCTTCCTTCTGATTTACATTCCACAGGCAGGTGGCTCCTGGAACACCCTGTCTACCTTGCCTTCCTGGGTGAAACAGTCTGTTACCATCACATGTCCACCTTGGGCAGGGACAGACAGAATGGAGCCTTTTACATTGAGGCAAAGAGGAAAGGCCTGTGCCCCGGCCTTCCTGCCAGCACATCTCCCCTGCTTGTTAACGGTCTGTGATGACATCACCTTGTGTTGTAGGGAAAGCTAACTGCCAGGGAACGGATCAATCTCCTGCTGGACCCTGGCAGCTTCGTGGAGAGTGATATGTTTGTGGAGCACAGATGTGCCGACTTCGGAATGGCTGCTGATAAGAATAAGGTATCTTTATTTGTTCCAGTGGTGGTGTGGGCACTTCCGGTGCCTTGCTGGCTGGCCTTCTTACCAGAGCAGAGAGTCCTTGTAGCTTTTATAGCTCAGCTGCACTGGGGAGTTTTGTTTTGTTTTTTTCCTCGTCTGCAAATAACTGTGGGTGGCTGTTTATTCTCCGCAGTGTAACTCAGGTCCAATTTCCAAGGCTCAGGTTGTGGGTGTCATTCCTCATCAGACAGAATGAAGAGTTTGGAAACTCATATGGGTTCTGAGTCTAAATGCTCTAGTCTAAATGCTGGCCAATTTTTTTTTTTTTCAAGACAGGATTTCTCTGTGTAGACTTGGCTGTCCTGGACTTGATTTGTCCACCAGGCTGGCCTCAAACTCACAGAGATCGCCTGCCTCTGTCTCCTGAGTGCTGGGATTAAAGGTGTGCTCCTCTGCTCCTGGCTAGTTGTTGCTTGATACTCCTTAAGTTTGAGTCTTATGTTTAGTTTTTTTATTGATTATTTTTTCAATGTATCTGACTATGTCACACAGCCTGCCTTAGATCTCTGTGTAGCTCAGGCTGGCCTCAAACTCATGATTCCCTTGGCCTTGGCGTTCTGAGTGGAATCACAGGTGTGCATCAGATACACCTGGCACCTCTGAATCATGAGGTCAGTAAAACCAAATTGCTTTTCCTAGGTGCATGGAGCTCTTTAGATTCACTGGTCCAGTTTTCTGCATATCTGCTGTCTGTGATCAAAGGTGCTGAGTCTTTTTTTTTTTAAATTTATTTATTATACATATAGTGTTCTACACGCATGCAAGCCTCCACACCAGAAGACAGCACCAGATCTCAGTATAGATGGTTGGGAGCCACCATGTGGTTGCTGGGAATTGAACTCAGGAGCTCTGGAACAGCAGCCAGTGCTCTTAACCTCTGAGCCATCTCTCCAGCCCTATATGAGTCTTAATAGACACACTGATGTTTGAGTTTCCATGAAAAAGAGTGGGTTTTCCAGTGTGACACTGGAAAAGCCGATATGCAAGTGGGCCCTTTCTCTCTTGTCTTACTGTGTAGCTGAGGCTGGCCTCAAATTTGTAATGATTCTCCCTTCTTAGTTTTTGTTGGGATTCTAGGCATGTGCCACTATGCCCAGCTCTGCTATGTTTCATTATATGTTCCTCTCAAGAGTAAGTGGCAGGAGCTGGGCGCGGTGGTGCACGCCTGTAACCCCAGCACTTAGGGAGGCAGAGGCAGGTGGGTCTCTGTGAGTTTGAGGCCAGCCTGGTCTACACAGCGAGTACAGGACAGGCAGGCTACACAGAAAAAACCCTGTCTCAGAAAAACAAAACAAAAAAGGAGTAAGTGCAGGAGTGGCCCCGGAAGCCTCTTAGAGTTATTTTGCCTTTCTTTTAAAATTTTTATTTATTTTGGTGTGTTTATTTTGTATCTTGTATTATTATGTGTTTATTTTGATATATTTATTTATTTATGTTGGTTTTTACTTAGAGCCTTCTTCAAACCAAGCCTTAGGAAATTTGGAGTTTTGTTTGTTTTTTCATTAAGGCATGATGCCAACTTCACTATCAGAAGTATTTGGGCTGGGCAATGGTGGCATATGCCTTTAATCTCACCAGGCAGAGGCAGGCAGATCTCTGTGTGCTCAAGGCCAGCCTAGTGTTCAGAGCTAGTTCCAGGATAGCCAAGACAACACAAAGAAACCCTGTCTCAAAAAAGAAGTATTGGATGTTTTTCTTTTTTTGAGACAGGGTTTCTCTGTGTAGCCCTGGCTGTCTTGGACTCACTTTTGTAGACCATGCTGGTCTCGAACTCACAGAGATCCACCTGCTTGTGCCTTCTAAGATCTGGGATTAAAGTGTGCTACCACGCCAAGCATATTTGTGTGTGTGTGTATGTGTGTGTGTTTTTCTGACCTTTACTTTTCCATTTCTGTGGTAGTTTCCTGGAGATAGCGTGGTTACTGGACGAGGCCGAATCAATGGACGATTGGTTTATGTCTTCAGTCAGGTATGTTCTACCTCTAGCAAATGAGGCTTTCCTGCAAGAATGAGCTGGAATCAAACTATTTTAAAAAGTTAAAAAAAAAAAAAAGACAATTTCGGAGGAATGAAATCTTGCTTATATGACAGATTTGCCTTCTGTTTTTCATGTTCGTATGTAGTGTTAATGCTGTTTTCTTCTTAGGAAGGAAGAGGCCTTTGTTTTTGTCTGTCTGGGAGGTGTGGGCAGGGCAGTGGGCCTGTGTGAAGTTGTTGGAAGAATGAGTTGATTCCTCTGACTCTGTTGTGTGGCTTCGGGGCGTGGAGTCCTGGGCTGGGTAGAGGATCCATGCAGCCTGAGTAGAAGACATTGACTCTTAGAAGCATGGGTCCCTGAGCTCCGGGCTCTTCAGAAAGTACCCAAACACATTTTGTGAGGTTTCATCAAGAGAGATGAAGGTGATGTTCACTGAGCCCTGAGGTAGACCTTGGAGGCAGAATAAAGCTATATCATGTTGTTATTTAATTAGTACTTTATGTATTTGGGCGTTTTTGCCTGCAAATATGTCTCTGTACCATGTGCTTGCCTGGCATCTGAGGAGGCCAGAAGAGGCTGTCAGAATTTCCTGGAACTGGAGTTACGGATGCTTATGAGCAGCAAGTGGGTGCTGGGAATCAAACCTGGATCCTCTGGAAGAGCAGCTGGTTTTCCTAACCACTGGGCCATCCTTTTAGCCCTGCATGTCCACATGTTAATTTTCAGAAGCTGGGTGTTACGCGACATAGTAAAAAAGGATCAAGGTTCTGATCACCCGACCCTTACGCTAGTGTGGCCTGGGTTACCCGGGTGCCCTAATGTAATCATGGGCTCTTTAAAACGTGGGTGAGGGGTCAGAACAATGTCGTGTGAGGAGATCTCCACCTGCTGTTTGTGGCTTTGAAAACAGAGGAGGAGAATTCTGAGATGAAGAATGGGACATCTCCAGAAGCTTAGGAAAGACACATAGACTGCCCTTGAAGCCTCCTGAGAGGTCACAGACCTGCTGACTTTGGTTGTAGCCCAGTGAGGCTCCTGGGAGGGAACTTCTGAACCACAGAATGTGAGAGAATGAAAATGTGTTGTCTTAAGCCCACGAATTTGTGCTGATTTGTTTCAGCAGCTATAGAAACAGGTGATTTTGTGTGCTATTATTTTATAATAGATTTTTTCTACTTTTTGGGGCTGCCAGATGTTGAAGATCACCTTTTTTTCCCTTCAGTTTTTAAGATCTGGGCAAAAACTATAAAGAAAGCATAGAAATGATAGAACAAAGAGTGGTATTGTTGTGTTTTCTGGCCGCAATGGCTGGCTACGTAAAGCCATTACAGAAGTTCAAATGTATCATATATTTGAGTAATTTCTCTGCTCATGGAGTAGGTTAGAGTGAGGAAGAGGAGGTGGAGATGACGAAGACAGGGCTGTCGTTTTAAAGGTGGCATTCATGGATAGAATGGGGCACAACAGGTGACCACAGACAGGGTAAGAGGTGCCAGGCAAATGCTTTGGACTCACAAGGAGGAACTTTTCCGGGCTCTTTTCACAAGGAGGTGCTCTCCAGGTTTGAGGAATCGAGAAGGGAAGCTGGGCATTTGAAAGAGGCTGGCCACCAGACTTAGGGTGTAGTCAGCCAGTTTCTTCATTGTGATCTCCGGGATACTGCCACAGGTGGCTTTTCTGTTTTTCCAGAAAAGTATCCCTCTTCCCTTGGTCCTGGGCTGACAGCATGCCCTGTGAGGAGGGGCAGAGGAGGAGCCAGCAGGGCTCATTCAGTGCTCTAGCTTCCAGTCTCTGTTTTTTTGTTTTTTTTTTTAAGATTTATTTATTTATTATTTATATAATATTCTGCCTGCATGCCAGAAGAGGGCACCAGATGCCATTGTAGATGGTTGTGAGCCACCATGTGGTTGCTGGGAATTGAACTCAGGGCCTTTGGAAGGACAGCTAGTGCTCTTAACCTCTGAGCCATCTCCTCAGGCCCAGTCTCTGGTTTTAATCCTCACCTTTGCCTTCTTTCAGGCCAGTGACCCTGATTCTCGATGTCTCTGCCTCGGCTTCTTTAGAGGACTAGCCTTTCTCCTCTCAAGCTGAAGGCGGGGCCCTCTGAGTTCTTTTTACACAGGCTTAGTTCTGTTTTAAGCCCCCCCCACCCCCCACTTTTCCTGGTTTCTTCTTGGTCACTCCCTCTGCAGGTGTGCACTTCCGTTCCCTTCCTCCCAATCATGTGGTACCCTATGCCTCCAGTTCCCCTCAGCTGGCCTGCTGCTGCTGTCTTCATGCTTGTAAGATAGCTCTAGGGCGAGGGTTTCCGAGACAGGGCTGGGGACTCTGCCTTTCATCTTCTCGTTTTTCAGAATCCAATTTTACCACCTGGAAGTGGATGTGTTTGCTTGACACTGGTGGAATCTGCCAACGGGGTTAATCCGGCTTCAGCTACTGCCTCAGAGCAAAGACTAAGTCTTTTGACCCTGATCCTAAACAAACTCTCTTCAAGATATTTATTAACTATCTTGGGGGATAATCTATGAGTTAAGAGGGATTTTTTTTTTTTCTATTTTTCTCAACATCTGAAATGCCTTTGACAATGTGAGTTTCCCATTTCTTTCTACTGGGTCTTGAGCTTTGCCTAGTGATTGTATTTTGCCTGCTGGTTTAATTGTTTTTCTTTTCAGGATTTTACAGTTTTTGGAGGCAGTCTGTCAGGAGCACATGCTCAAAAGATCTGCAAAGTAAGTGTTCAATATTGAAAATAAGCCCAGTGTTCCAATCAGTTTATGTGGTACACACTGAGTATTCCGGGGGTTCAATGAATGGAGCTACCTCTGAGGTAGAACAGATTGTACAAGGTGCAGTACTGACTAGAAGGGAGTCTTCGTTCTTTTCTTAAAATATTTCTGTACTATCTCCTTGACCTTGGTGAAGTCTATAGCCATACTCATTCTGTTCTCTTCTTTCCCTGTCCCCCTTCCCATCTTTCCTGGTCCCCCTGCCTTCCCCTGCCTAAGTACTGGGATTATATGTAGGAACCCGTCCTATTGGCAACCTTCACACTTCTCCATGCTTAAAATGACATCAAAGATTACGAGGCTTGAGGACTGGAGAGATGGTGCAGTGAGTATGAGTACTTGGTATGAAAACAAAAGGACCTGAGTTCAAATCCCCAGCGCTCACATAAAAGCCAAGCATGACTACATGTCCTTGTAACCCCAGCTTTCAGGGAATAGGCAGATCCTGGAAGTTGCTGGCTGCTAGCCTAGCCAGGACAGTGAGCTTTGGATTCATTGGAAGACCCTCTCTCAAAAAATAAGATTGACGGTGGTTGAGGGAGACACTTGATATTCTCCTTTGGCCTCTTCCTGTGAGAACTGAAAGCATTCAAAAGCACATTTGTGATGTATGTTGGCTTTTAAAGACAGGGTATAAGACTCTGTGTAGTCCTGGCTATTCTGGTAGTCACTCTGTAGACCAGGCTGGCCTCAACCCCAGAGATTCACCTACCTCTGCCTACTGTACTAGGATTAAAAACATGTACCATTATGCCTAGCTCATTAATATATATATATTATTTAGTATATTACATAATGAGATTTGGCAGTGGATCTTATGACTGGTGTAATTGAAAGGAGGTTTAAGTAAAAGTATTTCTGGAGCTCAGCAACTTCAATGTTCCAGAAGCATTTGGTTTCTATTAAGAGCAAAAGCACAGGTATGTGTTCATAAGTGAAGGATGTGTTACACAGTGCCTAGAGTTAGTGCAGGTAAAAATATAAACTTTGTAAAACTCAAGTTTATAGATCATGTATTGATTCACAGCCACCTTGAGAATCTCAAGAAAAGAATTTCAGATCTAGACAGAGTCCAGGCACTAAAATTAAAAAGCAGTACAAAGATTGCGTGAGAATTTTTTTAAAAGGGTTTGTTTATTTTTGCCTATGTGTATGACTATGAACTGTGTGTGCCTGGTGCCTGCAGAGGCCAGAAGAAGGTGTTGCGTCCTCTAGAACTATAGCTACAGTGGTTGTGAGCCGCTGGGAACTGAATCAGGGTCTTTTGCAAGAGCAAGAACTCTTAACCATTGAGCTATCTCTCAGCTCCTGTATGAAGGTATTTTAACAGTCCAGAGGGCTGAGCTTAGAGCTCTGTGATAGAATGTTGTTTTTTAAAAAAATGAAAATCCGAGCTGTTTTATTTTACCAATAAAAACTCAGGTGCCAGATGCAGGGTGAAAACCTGCTAGCTCAGAGAGGCAGAGAAAGCACCCAGCTGGCCTTCCTTCTCAGCTCAGGTCCTGATGGAAAAAACCCAAAAGGCTCACTAGCTCAGCTGACAGCCCAGAAGGAAAAGGCCAAAAAGCCCAAGGCCAAAGGCTTGCTAGCTCAAAGCCAAAAGGCCAGGGAGCTGAGGAGCTGAAGCCAAAGCTAAAGCCAAAGACCCTTTCTTCTCCTTTCTTAAATACTCCTAAACTCAAAGTCCCTCCTTCTGTGTGTTTTTTTTTTAAGATTTATTTATTTATTACATATACAGTATTCTGCCTGCATGTGTGCCTGCACGCCAGAAGAGGGTATCAGATCTCATTATAGATGGTTGTGAGCCACTGTGTGGTTGCTGGGAATTGAACTCAGGACCTCTGGAAAAGTAGCCAGTGCTCTTAACCTCTGAGCCATCTCTTCAGCCCTAGTAGTTTTTTTTCAAGACAGGGTTTCTCTATGTAGCCCTGGCTGTCCTGGACCTTGCTCTATACATCAGTCTGGCCTCGAATTCAGAGATCCACTTGCCTCTGCCTCCAGAGTGCTAGGATTAAAAGTGTGTGCCACTACAGTCTGGTTAGCTAGTTATCTTTAAACCTTCCTGGTTTTTCTCTGTACTGCTTCGTTTGTAATGGTTAAATGAGACAGTGGAAGGAAAGGTACTTGGTAGACCGTGTAGGGCTGTCGGGATGTTGCATATGAAGCTGTCAGGACTGTTGACACAGGAGGAAAGTCTGTCCCAGTGAGCCTGGCCTCAGGTTAACATAGGGGCCAATGTGCACCTTCACAGACTCCTGTGCCATTCTGTCTGCCACCAGTTGTTTCTTAGGAGTCACTAGGATGAAACTGGCCACCAAAGAGAGTCACAGTCCAGGCTTTGTACTCCCAGCCTCTTCTCTTCTAACAGTGCAAAACCCGGGACTTTGCTACGTAGCTGGTCCTTTATCTTCCATGAGGAACCCAGGCATTGTGGGGCTTAAAATCCAGGTGCTGACTGCTTCCTGTTTGGAAAAGTACAGGGAGAACACTTTCCAGGAAACAACATGCTATTCTACACACACACGTACACACACACACACACACGAGAGAGAGAGAGAGAGAGAGAAAATGAGAGAGAGAGAGAGAATGATAGTGTGAGGTGTGTCGGCATAACTTTTAGGAGCTGGTTCTTGCCTAACATAGTGGGTTCTTGGCGCTCTAACTTGGGTCTCACCAGGCTTGTGTGCTAAGTGATTTTGTGACTGGGATGAATGGTCTAAAACAGTGGTTCACAACCTACAGAGGGTCAAATGACCCTCTCACAGGGGTCACATATCACATATCCTGCATATCAGATATTTACATTATGATTCATAACAGTAGCAAGATTACAGTTATGAAGTAGCAACAAATAATTTTATGGTCACATAAAATTTAATTTTGGGGGTCACTACCCCATAAGGAGCTGTATTAAATGGTCGAAGAAATAGGAATGTTGAGAACCTGTTCTAAAGAGACACCCATGCGCCTCCTCTTTGGGTTCCGGACTGTTGAAAGAATGGACTCCAAGAAATGTGAACATGCTTGTGAATCTCCTGCTTTGAGAGAAATGGCAAAAGCCTTTAGTAGCATCCAGAGGAGGAACTTGTCTCCTGGTGTGGCAGGTCCCCAGACCTTAGCACAACTGACTCCATGATGGAAGTACCATCCAAACTGTAAAACTCAACAGGTAGACAGCACCACCTGCCGAAAATGAAAACAAAGACCTAATCCATCAAAGTCTATAGTCCTGGGAGTCTCTAAATGTACTAACCTTGCTTTTTGGCTCCTCTAGAGTTCAGCTTCTGGCTAAATGTTCTTGTTAACTGGAGTATGTCCACACAGAACATGGTTTGTGTGGCCAAAAGCTTATCCTGAGAAAGGCTTGGGGCTGTGCAGGGATCCTGAACACCCAGTGAGGTCACCAGCTAATACAGATTTTGTATTGGCTTCAACCCATGTTAGAACAGTCTTCTCTGGTGGACACTGGAGAAAGATTTACAGTCAGAGGCCTTGTAGGAGAGCCTGGGAACTGAGTTGGGGACAGGGACCACACTTTGCCAGACTGTTCAGTTATGCATACTTCTTAGTATTTTAAACCCTTCTCATGCCAGGACCCCTGAAGATTGACTTGGTGGGGGTAGGGGGTGGAAATGGGGGTGGGGGTGGGAGGTTGTGGATTCTGGATTCCTTTGTCTGTCTTGCCTGTGTGGTCACACTGAATAAATCTTTCCTTTCTGTTTTTTACTGTCCATTTGTCTCCTTTAACGGGTTCACTGAGGGTGGGTGGCTGGACTTGGCTTGTGGGAGCACATACAGGCTGTGGCCTTTCCGTCTGGTGACACTGTCACCCACCAAGCCGTCTCCTTTGCTCCACAAGGCATTTTGTCAGTGCTGTTTTTGGTAACCGGAGCAGATGTCTCATGAGGTCGTTCTATGCCGTTTTAGATCATGGACCAGGCCATAACAGTGGGGGCTCCAGTGATCGGCCTCAATGACTCCGGGGGTGCCCGAATCCAAGAGGGCGTGGAGTCCTTGGCTGGCTACGCAGACATCTTCCTGGTGAGAAACCTATTCATAGACTTCTCTGTGTGCTGGTGCCTGTCTCTCCACACTGTCCTCTACCCCATCCTGCCTCTGCGGTGTCTCCAGTGTCACTGCCACTGTGGGTGGGATGAGGGGTGGATGACAGGCCAGCCTGGCTGCAGAGCCTGCTCCTTTTTCTTGATAGAGGGCCAATTGTTGGATTAATAATTAGTCCAAGGTCATTTGTAAGGAGAAAAGACTTGGAAATGTTTTCTTTTTCTTTTTCTTTTCTTTTCTTTTTTCTTCCTTCCTTCCTTCCTTCCTTTTTTCCTTCTTTTTTTTTTTTTAAGCAAGAGAGAGATGGTAAGGAATATTAAAGTAAACTGATTTGCTACAATTAGGATTTTTTTTAAGTATTCTTTTTATTTATTTTTTTAAAAAAAACATTATGCATTAGTATACAAAGTTTAAACAGTAATACAAGGAAGAAGGACATTTTTCCAAACCTTATCACCAGAAGCCCTTGGAGGACACAATTTCATATACCTGCGTTATTAGACATATGAAATGTATTGTTATTTTTTTTCAAGTGGATTCATATTTTTTTATTTTGTTCTTTTAAGTTTTCTTTTTTTTTATTTAAATTATTAGTTACATTTTATTAACTCTGTATCCCAGCTGTATCCCGCTCCCTTATTCCCTCCCAGTCCCACCCTTCCTCCCTGAAATGTATTATGAGAGAGACAGGGATGGCAGTCGGGTAGGACAGATGGGCACAGTTTCTAGTCAGCCCAGTGCCATCCGTCCCACCCCTTCAGAATGACAGATGTCTTGTCCCTGGTCACAGCCTGACAAGATCCATTGGCATGTTTGTGTGTGTAAGATCCTCTGTCAGTTGTAAGTGTGCGCGTGTTATTTGAAAAACTTCCTAACTTTCATGTGTCCTAAACATGCTTCTAAATCTTTCCTCTAAGTTCTGAGGTTAACCCATGTGAAAAACATTAGTTCTGTGCTTGTTTGGTGATTTTTTTTGTGTGTGATATAATTTCAGACCTCATGGGAAACTTGAACCGAGTTCCAAGATCTGTCCCCTGTACTTTTTTTTGTTGCTGTTTTTGTTTTATTGGGTTTTGGGTTTTGGGTTTTGGGAGGATAGAGACAAGGTTCCTTTGTGTAGCCTTGCCTGTCCTTTGTAGACCAGGCTGGCTTTGAACTCACAGAGATCTGCCTGCCTCTGCCTCCCTGAGTGCTAGTATTACAGGTGTGTGCCACCGAGCCTGGCTCTGTCTTCTGTCCTTTATCCAGATGTGCTGCCACTATACAGTATATCATTCTCTTCAGAAATACGTATTTGCATATTACATTATTGTGAAACATTTGAGGGCAAATTGTTGATCTTTTGCTCTGTGTAGCTCATAAATCCTTCATTATGTATTTCTGAGGAACATGAACCAGAATGTAAACATAAAAGGAGAGTTAACATCTATTATTAATACCCATAGTCTTTATCTAGTGGCCTTACAAAAACCCTTAAGAGATTCCTTTCCTTCTCTCTCCTTCCATTTCCTCTACCTTTCTCCTTTTCTCCTCCTCCTCTCCTTTCTTCTTTACTTTCCTCTCTCCTTCCCTTCTCCCTTTTCTCTCCTCTTCTTTCTCTTCTCCTGTCCTCCTCTCTCTCTTCTGTCCCTTCCCTCTATTCTCCTTTTCTTCCTTTTCTCCCATCCTCTCTCTCTCTTTCCTTAACTTTTGTTCCTGACCTGGAACAAATCCAATTGTCATACCTCTTTAATTTTCTTTCTTTAATTTGGGTCAGTTCTGTAGTCTTTGTTTTTCATGACCTAGGTTTAAAAAATTTTTTTGGACTGTGTCTCAGTATGTAGCACCATGTTGCCTTCCACATTCTGGGATTAGGGACTGTGCTGCTGTACCTTGCCTGACCTTGACATTAAACAAACAAACAAACAACCCCCCCTCCCAGTTTATTGAAGTTTAATTTAAAACCTATAAAATCCACCCATTATGGCATGCAGTTCAGTGACACACCATACATTTCTGTAGTTGTATAAACATTACTTGGGGCCTTGAACCTGCAGCCCAGGTGCTTTGACTGGTCACAGATCCAGCCTTCACACTTTAAGGCAGGCCTCTGCCCCTGCCTCAGTCTCCCAAGCGTTAGGATCTCAGGCAGGAGCCACCATTGCCCGGCTTAAGGCTATGTCTTCTGTTTGAAGGACTCATCTCAGGCTTGTTATATATTGTTTTATAGTGGCCAAGTTTACTATTTACTCACCAATCTTCTGTCCATTATCAGAAGAGGTGACCCTGACAGTCATCACACATCTGCTTATTTCCCCCTGCATTTCTGTCAGTGTTTTGTTTCTTATGTCTTAACGTTATTACGGATTTATCAATTTGGGGGCTCTGCTGTAGATATTTTAATTTTTCCTTGATTTTTCAATTACATAGGTTTTTTAAAAATTATATTCATTTATGTTATGTTGCACTTGCTCGGGGTCATGCCATGGAGCATGTGGTGGTCAAGGACAACGTTCGGTGGTCATGTCTCCGGCCTTGTGAGGCCCGGGTCTTCATGCTTAGTGGTAAGGCCTTCACCTGAGGAGCTGCCTTGCTGGCCCTTTGGTTTAAAATTTTATAATTGTCATATGTTCCATGTGTATTGGACATGATAGCTTTGTTTTTTGTTTGTTTGTGTATTTGTTTGTTTGTTGAGGGGTCCTCTATGTAGCCCTGGCTATTCTGGAACTCACTATAGACCAGGCTAGCCTCCACCTTTTAAGTGCTGGGATTAAAGGCAAGCACCACCAGGCCCGTCCCAACACTGATAACTTTGTGTTTTATAACCTTTTTAAGTTTACTTTATCTGACAGCATAGCCACCATGGCTCTGATTTTTCCTCTCATGGAACTTGTTTTTTTTTTTTTTTTTTTAGCCTCTTATTTTCAATTTTTTTGTGTCCTTTTGTCAAAAGCAAAACTATGAACAGCATATAAGTTATCTTTTTAAAGTTCAGTCTGTTTGTCTCTTAGGAGATAGGTTTTTTGGTGCCTAAATTTTTCTATTAAAAGTTTTAATTTGTGTGTGCGTGTGTGTGTGTGTTGGTGTGTCTGTCTGTGTGAGCTACAGTTGCACGTAGGTTCCCTGAAGGAGCAGAGGTGCTCCTAACCATGGAGCCATTCCTCCAGCACCCCTCATTTTTACTTTCGCTTTCTACATTTATGGGTGAGGGGCACAGGTGTGCACCCTGCACATACGGTGGTCAGACGAAAGATGAGAGGATTAATTCTCTTTTTCCCTTTAGGATGCTGGGATGGAAGTTGGACCATCAGGTCTGGTAGCAAACACCTCTATCTCCTGAGACATCTTTGTGGACTCCCCACATCCCCCAATTCCCTCCTTCTTAAGAGACTAATTTTTCTATATAGTTCACGCCTGTCTGGCTCCAGTTCTTCCTGCGTCTGCTGAGGTTACAGGCACATGCCGCCATGTCTAGCCATAGCCACAGCACTGTCCCCTTTTGGATTTACTTGGTTTGGGCCACTTTTAAAAATGTATTTATTTATTTATTTATTTTTGTTTTTTCAAGACAGGGTTTCTCTGTGTAGCCTTGGCTGTCTTGGACTCACTTTGTACACCTCAAACTCAAAGTGATCTGCCTGTTTCTGCCACCTTGAGTGCTGAGATTAAAGGTGTGTGCCACCATCCCTGGCTTGGGTTGGCCATTTTAGTTCATTTAAATTTTCACCATATTTTATTTTATTTTAACCTTTATCTTTATTTTATATGTGTGGGTGTTCTGCCTGCGTGTGTGTGCCTGTGGAGGCCAGAAGAGGCCGTTGGATCTGCATCTAGAGTTACAGATGATTGTAAACCGACACCAGGGTGCTGGAAATCGAACTTGAGTCCTCTGGAGGAGCAACCTGTGTTCTTAACCACTGAACCATCTCTTCAGCTTCCTTTACTGTATTTTAAAGTGCTCTGTCCTTAGTGTTATCCAGGGAATTACAGTCACGGTTGGGATGAAACGAAGTTGGCTTCAACCATGTACGGACATGTTGCTTCTTCTGTCCCCATCATCGCAGAACACGTCTTTACCTGTGATGTCGGTGTGGAGAGATTTGAAAGACAAATGCACAAACAATTAGGATTGCGGGAATGCTGGGTCACCAGCTGAAGGGCAGTATTGATGTCTCTTTGCCTAGATTCACTGGCGTCTGTTTTCTCTCAGCTTCATGTAGCTGTGTAAGGCAGTTTTATTTCAGACGGAAGAACTACCTTTGGTGTCCTTGTACGACATCCAGCTGCCAGTGAACTCCCTCAGCCTTTGCTATCTGAAATGCCTTACTCCTCCTTGCTTGAAGCTTGGCTTTGTTGGATGTTGAATTCTTGACTGACAGGTTTTTCTTCAAGCACTTGAACTACGTCCAGCTGCCTTGAGCGTTTGTCAGAGGGAGGCTGCTCTGCCCTTTGCCTTCCGCTTCCGGCCTGGGCTGGAGCTTCATGTTTTGACTATAATGGGTCTCAGTGGGAGGCCTTTGAGTTAATCCTCTTTTGGAGTCTGTTGAGGTTCTTGGATGTGAACATTTGCATCTTTCATCAAATCTGGGAAGTTATGGTTCTTATTTCTTCAGATATCTGACTGGACCTCTTCTGTTTCTCCTGTGTTTCTGTGGTGCTTGCTGGTGCCTGATGGCTTCCCACGGGTCCCTCAGGCTTTGTTCATGCTTTCATTTTCTCAACATGGGTAATGTTAGTGGTTTTATCTTCAAGTTCCCCGAACTATTGTTTTTTTATGATTAAATCATAGAACCTTCTAGAGAGTGAATTTCTGTTTTTTTTTTTTTAATAATTTGTTCTGTTATTATCTTGTTCACCATTCTCCTGCTTTCCCTGAGTTCTTTTTCCATGTTTATTATTAGTATTACTATGTTATTTAGTCCATTGAACATACTTAGGACAGCTGCTGCAGTATCTATGACTAATAATTTTTATGTGTGGGTTTCCTCAGGTTTGTTTTCCCTCTGATTCTTTTGTTTTTCCCGTGAATGCCTTTGCCTGTTTGCTTGTTTTATAATCCACAATTTGTTGTTGAATAGTGGAAATTTGTTTTTCTTCTTTGTGGCAGGGTCTCACATAGCCCAGGCTGACCTCAAACTCACTGTGTAGCTGATGATGGCTTTGAACCGTCTGCCTTCCAAGTACTAGGTGATAGGAATACACTGCCATGCCTGGTTTTCTGGCAATTTACAATTCTTTCAGTCTTCAGGGATTTTACTTGTGGAGTGTGGGACCCAGCTGTGGCTTTTCTAAGCTGTTTTTATAAATTCATGTGGAGTATGATCACTCAGACTTAAGTTGTCTCTGTGGTTATGGCGTCGCCTTTCTCAGTGCCTTGACGAAATACTTGACAATACTTAAGGAAGGGAGGGTTGATTTTGGTTCACAGTTTGAGGGTGTGTTCTGTTGTTAGGAGGACGTGCTGGCTGGTCACATGCTACCTGCAGTCAGGAAGCTGAGAGAAATAAAAGCTGCTGCTTGGCTCCCTTCTGCTGTATTGTTTAATTCAGCCCAGGACGCCAGCCCACAGGATGGCGCCTGTAGTTAAGGTGGGTTCCCAACTCAACCCAGCCAGGAGCTGCCTCCCAGAGTTTGCCTTCCACCATACTAACCATCACCATGCTCAACCCATGGTTTGATAAAGATGTCCTTAGCCAAGCCAGCCCGTGGTGACGCAGGTCTTTAATCCCAGTCTTCAGGAGGCAGAGACAGCCTGATCTCTGTGCATTCGAGGCTAGCCTGGGCTAAAAATCGAGTTCCAGGATTCCCAAGACTGTTGCACAAAGTAACCCAGTTTCAAAAAATAAAATAAAAAATAAAAACAAAACAAAAAAAAGAGGTTCTTAGAAGCTTAGGGCAAGGGTGGGGAACAGAGAGTCCTTTTCTTTTGAGTTCACCAAAATTGCAAGAAGGACCGTCTCTGTGCTGGTCTGAATTCAGCTCCCAGAAGCAGCAGTCAGAAGTGAAAATAGGAGTCCTGGCTAGAGATGAGGTGCAGTGCTTGCCTAGTGTGGATCCCAGCACTCAAACAGAAAACAAAACCCTAACTTGAGGATGAGGTCTTTGTTGCCATCCTTTTAGTGCCAGCTGGCTATAGTAGGTATATGGTTGTCATGGCTGGGGACATTTAGCCAATAGTCACTGAATTTTACCTGCCTCTTCCTTTTTTTTTTTAAGATTTATTATGTATACAATGTTCTGTCTACATGTATGTTTACAACCAGAAGAGGGCACCAGATCTCATTATATGGTTGTGAGCCACCATGTGGTTACTCGGAATTGAACTCAGGACCTTTGGAAGAGCAGACAGTGCTCTTAACCGCTGAGCCGTCTCTCCAGCCCTGCTTGATCCTGAAAGCATTCCAGTAGACTCCAGAGTTCCAAAACAGTTGCTTCCGACAGTCCTGTGGCTGAAGTTATTTCATTCATGGTTTCCTAAAGCTTTCTCATCCATCTTCTGTGATGTCACATGGCTGTGTCCTGTGAGTCTAAGCGCTGGGGTTGCATACCATCATTTCCGCTTAGGTAGGTGACCACTTGAGTCATGAGTCTGAGGCTAGCCTGGGCAGCACAGTGAGATTCCGTCTCAAAAACACCATTTTATACCAACAAGAGACTTCTATCCCAAGCCCATAGCTCCTATGTTAAATACTGTCACGGTACTTTAAATTTTTCTTCATGTTTTTTCTTCTTTTTTTTGGGGGGGTTGCTGCAGGGTGGGGGGAAGAACAAGGCCTTGTTATATTGCCTGTGCTGGCTTAAAACTTCTAATCCTCTGCCTTAGCGTCCAGAATTCTGGGATTATAGGCATGTTCTACCATACTTGTCTAATTTTTTAACTGTGTTTAAAAGCAAGTGAGCATACAAAGTAATAGTTGTTTTTCCTTTTTCTTCTCCTCCTCTTTTTCCCCCTTACCCCAGGCTTGACAGGGTCTTATGCAGAGGTCAGAGAACAACCTCTGGGAGTAACCTCTCTGTCATGTGGGTCCTGGGGATGGAAGTCAGTAGTCTGGCTTGATGACAGGTACTCAGTGGGCAATTCCCCTTGCCCTCATCACAATCTGTTCCAAATTGATAGAGACTTAATTGTGGTAAGACAGTGACTGTGCATCAGTCTGCCTCCCTTTTCTTCCCATTTTTGTTGTGTGTGTGTGTACCCTTGTGCGTGTGTGTGTTCGTGCATGCGTGTGTGTATGTATGTGCATGTGTGTGTGACTGTGTGAATATATGTGCACAGTTGTGCATACCCTGTGGTGACCTGTGAAGGTCGGGAGACTGCCCTAGTCTCAGTCCTTGCCTCCCACCTTATTTTGAGGCCGGGAGTCCTGTTGTTTCCGAGGTAGCTAGGCCATGAGCTTGTGGGCATTCTCCTGCCTCTGCCTCCTATCTTGCTGTACAAGTGTTGGGACCGTGGACCTGCAAGCGACTCCATCTGGTCCTGGGAATCAGAGCTGAGTTCTCATGTTTACAGCCATCTTCCCTGCCTCCAGCCTTTGGTCTTTCATCACAGGGTACCCATTTTTTCGTGATCTTAATTGCTTCTTGAGGATTTGGTTGCTATGTTCTTTCTTTTCACCTCGAGAGACAGCCTGAGCTGTGTGGGATGCGCGGGAGCCTTAAATTAAAATGCTAGACTATCAGGTGTCGTAGTCTCATTCAGCATTTAGCTTTTGTTGTTGTTTTCCTTTTTTATTTATTTTGAAGATAGGAGACAAGGTCTTGGAATGTAACCCAGAATAGCCTTGAACTCACAATGTAGCCCAGGCTAGCCATGACCTAGACTTTGTAGCCTAATCCTCCTGCCTCAACTTTCCAAGTGCTGCCACTTCTGGCTTGCTCAGCAATTTTTTATGCATTAACAGTTTGTTCACAGGTAGTTCATTTTCAAAGCCTTGAATACTTGTCGTTGACAGTTTCTCCCAGTTTTATAGTCCTTTTTGAAGAAAATTTCCAAATGTGGTTCTGCCACAGCTAGAAGTCTATCTATTTCTCTGTTTTGCTGGCCGAGTAGGATTGTGCTGTGCTGAGCCATATCCCATGGTTTATACAGCCTGGGCACACTGCCAAGGCAGGTGCCCACTTTTCTTAGCTATTATGAGCAAAGCTTTCAATTGTCACTAGGAATAGAACAGTTGGGCGAGAGTAGCACTTTTGGAACTTTTGAATTTCAACTGCCATGCTGCTCTTGGGAAAGTTCCTCAGTCACATGGCCTCTAGAACTGTCCCCTCACACTAAGCAACTACCAGTACTTTTCCCCTTGGCCTTTCTCTGTCACGGCATTTACTGCTAATTTTTTGAACATAAAAAAAAAAAAAAATCAGGTCTCCTAACTATCTTTAAGGATAGTCACCTGAATTCCAAGCTTGAGGCTTCTGTCTCTTCATAACACCTTTGTCCTCATAAACCCCTTGTGCAGTGTCGCCCCCTTCCCCCAAGCCTTGTCTGAGGACGAGCAGATGCCAAAGAAGTGGCACCTGCCTCTGTGCCCATGTTGTGGGAGCTTCTGTGGAGGCCGTGCCGGAGCTCAGCATAGAGGTCAGGGCTACATGTCGGGAGGGCACAGGCTGCTTCTCCCTGGCGTCTCCGCACACAGGAGCTGGTCCTGAGGGAAAGCGGTGGGACCCAAAGCTCACATCCTGGTGGCCACTTTGAGGAACTGCTGTCAAGACAAAGGGCGCTCTTTGTTGCAGAAGGTGGCACAGTTACCACTCCTCATTTGTGGGACAAATGGCACACATAATTTTGGAAACACTTTTCTGATTAGATCCTGTGTGGCCTCCTGCATAGGGTTTCTGTGGAAGCAAAGGCAAAACTCGATTTTATTGTTGGTTTGATCTTCCTGCAGATAACTTTGTGAGTGCCTCTGTAACCAGGTTCTTTGCTTTTCTGTATTGGCAGAGGAATGTCACGGCGTCCGGAGTCATCCCTCAGATTTCTTTGATCATGGGCCCATGTGCTGGTGGGGCCGTCTACTCCCCTGCCCTAACAGACTTCACATTCATGGTGAAGGTAAGAAAGCTGCATCTGTTCCTGGTGCCCTGGAAGTCCTGCAGCTGTGTCTGTGATCACATCAAGCCTGACCCAGATCTAGCTCCTCATCTGAGTTCTCAGTGGTGCTCACTGGAGTGGAGATAAGGCCGGGGTGGAGGGAAGGTTTTGGCATGGGATCTGTAGTGTTTGAGGTTCAGTGGCAGAAGGTGCTTGTACGCTGTGAGACTTTACTTGTGATGTGAATTGCAAATGGTGTAGCATAATCAGAAGATCCCGTCCTGTGCCCAGACTGATGGCGGTTTACTGACCAGGGCTCCCTCGGGAGGGTCTGCTGTGGGCCGCTTTGTTGGGAGGTGGCTCCTGAGGTCCCATGTCTCTTCCTTCACTGTTCGCTATTTCACTGTCCTTTTCGTAATGGTAATGGGAAAATCTGACCCCCAACTTCAGTTTGAGAACTATATGTTACTGTATCACCTGGCTTTAATAGAAGGGGATATTAAGTGATTCATCAGCAGCAGCATTATTTTGTTTTTTTGAGACAGGGTTTTACTAGGTAGCCCTGGCTATCCTGGAAGAGAGCTGATCGGATCAAAGGTGTTCACCACCAACACCAAGCATTATTTTATTTTATTTTACTTTTTGAGGTTATTTTTTGAGACAGATTCTCACTTTCAAGCTTTGGCTGGTCCACTCAGCATGAGGACCAAGCTGGCCTGGAACTTACAGATCAGCCTGCCTCTCCCTCCTGACTGCTGTGTTAAAGGTGTGTACCACCATGCCCAGAATTAAAAAAAAAAAAAAAATTTTTTTTTCTTTTAAGAGACAAAATTTCTCTGTGTAGTTCTGACTGTCCTAGAACTTGATGTGTAGACTAGGCTGACCTTGAATTCAGAGATCCTCCTGCCTATGCTGGGATGAAAGATGTGCTCTGATGAGTTATGTCTGGATGAAATCCCCTAGAACTTTTATGTGGGGGATAGTACTGGTAGTTGCTTAGTGGGAGGGGACAGTTGTAGAGGGGCTGTCACTGGGTCCCTTTGTGTCTCAAGAGCAGTGTGGCAGTTGGGATTCAAAAGTTCCAAAAGTGCTACTCTCACACAACTCTTCTATTCCTAGTGACAATAAAAAGCGCAAATCAGGGCCTGGCGCTTGCTAGGCAAGCGCTCTACCACCAGCTGAATCCCCAACCCCGCAAGATGGTTACAAGTCAAAGCTACGATTAATTCTTTGGAGTAATCCAATATAAATGGGTTTGTTTTACATGTGAATATAAACATTTCAGAAGTCTAGTTCACCTTTATGGGAGACACAAAGATCACTGTGATTTCCCAGTGATGTGGGAGTATCACTAGTCCAGGATTGACTCCCAGGCCAGGGATCACAGTCTCCTGCTGGCTGGTCCAGCCTCAGGCTGCCCCACACAGCTTCCTTAAATAAATCTCCAGTAGCTTAAAACAGGTTCCTAGGTCTGATCATTGGGCATAAAAGACATGGATCTCATTAACCATGGAAGACATTTTCATAAAATTTACGTATTAAGGAAAAATACATAATGTAATTGATGTGCTTACCATGGTTGTTATCAAAGTCGGTGTGAGGTAACCTGTTGCCTCAGCCAGGTCCTGCCATCCATCCTCAGTAAGAGAGTGAAAAGAGCCAGGTTAGTGGATGGCAGAAAGACGTGTTTGCTGTAGCCACCTTTGGAAGAGGGACAAAGAGATCCAGGGAACCACCAAGTAAGTCTTCAGGGTCCTGAAGCTGGTCCCAGCTGGCACCCTTTTATTCTCCAGATGGGATTCCTGGGGGAATTCCTGTTTCTTTAGGGTCTGTTGTTTCTATAGACTGAAACACTGAGAGACTCAAGCACCTATTTAGATTATCTTTGCTTCTGCCAGGCCTAGTGGTAATTTTATTATCTCAGAATTTCAGTTGCAGCCAGAGAAATGGACAGCACCAGGCTGTTTACAGAGTTTTCCAAATATTTTGAAATTGATAAAACAGACTTCTGGGTCACGCTGCTTTTTGTGTTTGGCAGAGGTCAGACGAGCCATCTGCTGGAATGCGAATTTCAGCCCAGAAGGGAGATCCTGTCGCTCAAGTGTTCCTCTGTGGGAATTATTCTAGAAATTGTGGCGGTATAAAACTTCAGAATAATTTTCTCTGATGGGTATTTTTCTGACAGGAACCTTCGATCTTACAGCTTCCAAGCCTCTTTATTGCCTCGTGTACTGTAGGGATGGCTTCACATGTAGTCTTTGTTTGGTGCTGAGGGGCCAGCTCAGTGTCCTTTTGGGTCAGAATTGTGCTATTTGCTTTTCTCTCTCCCAACTGTCTGCTTCATTCAGTTGTTTGGCCAGAATGCAAAGCTGCGGGAACTAACCAGAAGTGTGTTTCCCTGTGCTGTGAGGCTGGCTGTCCTAGCTTGGATTTTCTCTTTGTCCCTCTCTCTGTGCTTTAAGATTGAAGTGAGCCTCCTGGCCTACATTTGCCCCTAATGAGACTGCAAAGCGTGCTTGAAGGTCTGCTGCTCCTTAGCATGTGTGGAGGCAAATTCTCATTCCCTCTGTCACCCCGCATTCTCGGAAAAAGCCACATAACTCCTAGGGTGTCTTTTGCAGCTGCCCTCATCCCCGCTGCGGTTTGCAGGCCCTGCAGTAACTTTCCCTCCTAGAGCTGCCTGCTCTGGTGTTTCCTGGTGGGTGCCAGCTTCTGTGTGCTTCCTGTTACCATGTTCTGCTACTGCCTTGGTCCATGTAGCTTGAAACACTTATTAGAACATTACACTAGGACTACCATAAAGGCGGACCTTGGGGGCCTTCAGCAAGTGTGAGCCCTGAGCCCAAACATTCACTAGGGCAACTTTGGGGTTCATTATGGTGACTGCTGAGGGGCCGATGCTAGTGGGGGAAACTCCACCGCGTGCATGGGGGGTGTCCAAATTGGGGAAGTTTTCACGGCTTCTGTATTGGGTGGCTGAGGGGGTCCCCACCTGCTGTATTTAGCGTGGAGACTGCATACTGCCCTAATTGCCACTGGGGCTGCCCTGAGCAGTTAAAACTGAGCAACTAGCTGCCCGATAGTTTGTCCCTGACCTTTTGGGTGCTGTGAGGAGCACATACTATCAGGTTTTGAGGCAGGTGAGCTGTGCCCTTGGGGTCCCACCTTACTCTGTCCTCCTTGGAATCGGGATTTGTTGTCTCCAAGTACTTTATTCTGTCAAGCGTCAGCACCCTCTTTCTGGCTGACCAGTCTCTGCCTTGCCCCTTGTTTGGTATCAACATCTCAGGCTGGCCGATGTCTAGAAATGATCCCAGACTGGAATATGGGAGGATCTCTGGTGGTCAGATAAAGACCAGCATTCCTCCATAACTTGTGAAAGTGGTTTCCATCTGCCAAAAGGAGTCATGTCCCTTACCTGTGGCAGAAGGGACACAGGGCTGCGCTGAGGCATACCTGTGGCTGCATGTCGAAGCATGCTGAGGCATACCTGTGGCTCCATGCCGGCCTCCAGCCCGCTCAGCCCCTTCTCACAAGTACTTCTTATCCGTTGCAGAGTCCCTGCCTTGACTCCTCTCAGCTAAGGTCCCCACTCTCATTATGTCCCCACTCCTGCTATTCTCACTCTTCTCTCTCCTATAATTTGAAGTACATTTTGACTAAGATCAGCACATGTAATTCTTTTGCCAATTGTTAGCAAGATAAATCTTTCTCCATATCTTCAGAGAGGGAATTTTGCAAACAATGTATATATTTGAGTCTTGTTTCAAGTCTTTAAAAATTCTTCTTTAGGGCTGGAGAGATGGCTCAGAGGTTAAGAGCACTGGCTGCTCTTCCAAAGATCCTGAGTTCGATTCCCAGCAACCACATGGTGGCTCACAACCACCTACAATGAGATCTGGTGTCCTCTTCTGGTATGCAGGCACACATGCAGGCAGAACACTGTAGACATAATAAATAAATAAATCTTAAAAAAAAATTCTTCTTTAAAACAAAATTTGAAAGATAGAATTTAATTTATTTTTATTTTTTGGGTTTGTTTGTTTGTTTTACTTTTTGTTTTTGTTTTGCCTCCATGTATGTCTGTGCATTGCTCTCAGATCCCAGAAGAGGACATCAGATCCCCTAGAACTGGAGCTACAGGTGCTTGTAGGCTGCCCCTACCTGGCACTGGGACCCAAACCCATGTCCTCTGAAAGAGCAGCCGGTGATCTTAACTGCTGAGCCATCCCTCCAGCCCCATAAAGACAGATTCTTGTCTTTAAAACAAAACAAAACAAACAAACAAACAAACAAACAAAAGCCAACTTCTTGCCATGTAGTCCAGGCTGGTTGCAAACTTGAGTTATCTGGATTCAACCTCTGTGGGCTGGGTTACTGATGTTTGAGGTCTTAGCTGGTGTTTTAAAGTTCTTGACTTCTTATTCAAATATAAAATAAGTGCTCACACAGATCAGCAAAAGTCGTAAGGTGACATTATTCAAAGTAAAGCTATATATAGAAATATACTGTTCAGATTGTGGCTTGTGTGAGTGAAGGTACTGAAGGGCCACAATAATTGTTTGGAATTTTATGGGGTTCAAGAGAAGGAGGAGTTTGTTTGCTGAGGGATGTAGTTTGGGTAGTTCTTTATTTAAAAAAATGACTTATTTTTATTTTCTATGTGTGGCTATTTTGCCTGCATGTGTGTCTGTGTACCACATGCCTGCAGTACTTGGAGAGGCCAGAAGAGGGCATCAGATACACTACAACTCTGCTCTTAATCACCTAGCTCTCTTCATCCCCTGCTTTTCTGGTTTTTGTTTGTTTGGTTTTAGTTGTTGTTTGTTTGTTTGTTTTTTGAGACTGGGTTTCTCTGTGTAGCCTTGGCTCTCCTGGACTAGCCTTGTAGACCAGGCTGGCCTTGAACTCATATCGATCGTCTGCCTTTGAGTGCTGGGACTACAGGTGTGCACCACCTGTTTTAATTAACAGATAATGTTACATTTTCTCCAGGGCATATACTTTCCCATAATGCATTTGGTTTTAATCATGTTCATCCCCAGTTATGCATAGGCATAAGATGGTAAATGGGAGCTTCTTCCCTAAAGTTGGATTTGCAAACACAGTTGCCTTACTGTGCATGAATCCACTGATCTCCATGCGATCCCAGCCATGAGAAGATCTTTATTCACTGCTCTTGAAATATGACTGCAGGTTAGTTACCATCTGCTGCAGAAGAAGCATCTCTTGTGAGGGTTGAAAGATGTATTGATCTGTGGGTACAGTGGTGAGTCATTAGGAACTGATTTGGTAGTGTGTCCATTGAGTAGAATAACAGTGACAGGTTTCCCTTAGGCCCTATGTCTGACCGATGATTCTTGGCCCTGATAATGGTGCTAGGTATGAGTTCCATCTTGAAGAACTAGAGAAGGAGGTGGTTGTGAAGTCCTACCCCTTGGGGAGAAGCTGCTTGGCAATTGATAGCTGTTGGTTGAGGGAGAGTCAGTTGTCTTTAAGGGTGTAGCTTGACCAAGCTCTAGGTCAGTGGTTCTCAACCTTCCTGTTGCTGCAACTTTTTAATACAGTTCCTCATGGTGTGGTGATCCCCCAGCCATAAAATTAGCTTTATTGCTACTTCCTAACTGTAATTTTGCTACTGTTATGAATCATAGTGTAAATATTTGATATGAAGATGGTCTTAGGTGACCTCATGAAGGGGTCATTTGACCCCTAAAGGGTTGAGACCCACTGCGTAGTGGACAGTCTCATATCCAGGCATATATTGTCGCACAAACTGTTCTTCCTCCTTTGAATTATGCCAGTTATAAGATCCGCTGCCAAATTTCCTTATTTAATGCACTAATAAATACATATATTAATGAGCCAGGCATAGTGATACACATCTTTAATCCTAGCACTTGGGAAGCAGAGGCAGGTGGATCTCCAAGTTTGAAGCCAGCCTGGTCTCCAGAAAGAGTTTCAGGACAGTCAGGGCTACACAGAGAAACCTTGTCTCAAAGAACAGAATAAAACAAACAAACAAAAAAGCAGCTTTGGAAATGAAATGCACAAGACACTGTTACAAAGAATTGTGTCAAAAGAAAGTGTATTAGGAAATAAGAGAAAATATGTTTGTACGTGTTGAGTGTCTCGTGTGAGAGACGGACAGCGGCGGTTTTTCAGAAGGGAGATTGGGGACTTGGAAATCAGGTTTGGGATATGGATTTGTTTCACATTGTCCCCTCCTCACCTCCTGTATAAATGTTCTACACAAAGGAGAGACTGTGTTCTAAAGTCAGGTGCGGTGGTGCATACCTTTAATCCCAGCATTTAGGAAGTAAGATGAGCTAGAGCTTGAGGTTGTGTGGCCTTGAGTTCAGTCTCTTAGTCTGTTGTCTGTCTGTCTGTTGACTGTCTGTGTCTCTGTCTCTCTCCCGTTGCCCTGCCTTCCTCTCATTAATACCAGAATACCGATGACTGGGTTTGTTTTTTTTTTTTTTTTTTTTACAAAAACAGCCTCATTTAATGTAGTCCATAGTATAACATCTTGTTGCCTCGGTTTCTTCAGGAAGTGGAGGTGACAGAAGTTTTTTTAAAGTTATAATTATAGAATCCTGGGAAGAGCTACAAAATACGCACAAGGCACGTGAACCCCGTGCCGGGGCCGCCTGTGTTGCCAGGTTTGTACTGCAGGCCGACTTCCTGAGACTGGAGCAGACAGCAGTGTTCTTCTGAGAAGAGTGTGTGTCTCAGTCAGTGCTCTGTTGCTGTGAAGAGATACCATGACCATGGCAACTCTGATAAAAGAAAGCATTTCATTAGGGCTTGCTTACAGTTTTGGGGACTTAGTCCATGGTCATCATGGCGGGGAACCTGGCCGCAGGCAGACACGGTGCTGGGGAAGCAGCTGAGAGTTCTGCATCTGGATCCGCAGGGCAGGCAGCAGGAGAAGGAGACTGGGCTCGGAACAGGCTCTTGAAACCTCAGAACCCACCCCCAGAGACACACTTCTGCCTGTGGGCATCTCGGCTCCAGCCTCCTCCTAGTTCTCTGTCACCTCCCTGCATTTGTGGTCTTGGTTGCGTGAGCTCTGAGTAGCCTTGGTGACTTGAGTCTGACAATGTGGACATCTGATTTCAGGACACCTCCTATCTGTTCATCACTGGCCCTGAGGTTGTAAAATCTGTTACCAATGAGGACGTCACTCAGGAGCAGCTGGGTGGTGCCAAGACCCACAGCACTGTGTCAGGTGAGAGGTGTGAACATGGCCTTCCTGCTCTCCGGAGATGAGAAGAAGGCATTGTCCTGCAGAGTAGTGAAAGTGCTCTTTAAGAAATATCACTTCCAGCGGGACATGGTGGTGCATGCCTTTAATCCCAGCACTGCAGGGGGCAGAGGCAGGCGGGTCTCTGTGAGTTCGAGACCAGCCTGGTCTACAAAACCAGGCCAGCCAGGGCTACACAGAGAAACCCTGTCTCAGGGGAAAAAAAGAAAAAGAAAACAAAAGGAAGGAAGAAAGAAACAAAGAACTATCACTTCACTGACAGCACTTACCTGGGAAGACTGCTACTCTCACAGAAGTGGTAGGCAGACAGCAGTTTTGGATTTTAGTAGCAGGTCATTCTGATTCCCCAGCCTCACCCCTGGGCTGAACACGTGCTAGGCTGGCAGCTCTGCCTTCCCTCTTTGTCTGTAGAGTGACCTTGGACCTGTCTGGGTGGTCAGAAGTAGGTGTGATTGATGCGTACAGCAGGACTGGCAGAGGGGCGCTCAGGAACGCTACCTTCACAGTTCTCCCCCGCTGCACCCCGAGCATTCTGGCTGCTGGATCTATAGGCAGTCACAAGCGCCCCCCCCCCCCCCCGCCTTGTTTCTGGGTGTTTGTCAGTTTTGGAGAGTTCATAGAAGTGGGGTCATACAACAATGCTGTCTTTTAAAAAATGTAGTAGTGTGTACTAATTGTACAAAATGCTTCCATGTCGAGATTCTCGCACACATCAGGTACTCTGTTCATATTCAGCCCATTTTCCTCTCTTGTCTCCCTCTATTGTCCCCTTTCTCTTAGACTACCCCTTGTCAACTTCCTTGTGTGTGTGTGTGTGTGTGTGTGTGTGTGTGTGTGTGTGTGCAACATTTTGTGTGAATGTCCTGAGAGGCATGCTGCAGTACTCACTCGGAGGCTGGAGGACAGCTGGTGGGAATCAGTTCTCTCCTTCCATGCCGTGGGTTCCAGAGATCACACCCAAGATTGTCTGGCTTGGCCACAAGTGACTTTTCCTGCTGAGCCATCTCAGTGGCCCATGGCATATGTTTTTGAAAGTCTCGGTTTTGTAGAAAACATTTTAGGAGGAGGAGTTGATGTGGGAGGGGGAGGTCTGAGGGAATGATACATTTTCAAATTTAACTATATTTTTACATTTATTTTTGTCTCGAGACAGTGCCTCCCTGGGTCTCTTGATTGCTGTGGAACTCACAAGGGGACCAGACTGGCCTCCCCCTCATAGTGACTGTCTTTCCTTTGCTGGGATCCTAGGCTTGTGCCCCCGTACCCAGCTTACCGTGTATTTTTAAAGGCTTTTCCTTGTGGCATCACACATCAGTACTTCATTCCTTTTAATGGAGTAATTGTCTAATGTATAGATGTGTAACTATTAATGACTTATTTTAGAGACAGGGTCTCACTAAGTTGCCCAGGCTGGCCCAGAATTCTTAATCCTCCTTCGTTAAGCTCTGTGAGTGTCAGGATTACAGGTGTGGGCTGCCATCCACTTTCTGCATTCTTTTTTTCCCCCAGTGGTGGAGATTACACCCAGGGCACCCAGCATGCAAGGCAGCCGCTCTCCCGCTGAGCCCAGCTCCAACATGTCATATTTATCTACGGATAGACATTTGGGTTTTCTAACGTATATGTATTTGTGTTTATAATATAACATATTAAATAGATGTCTCAAATGTGTTTAAAACATTTGTGTGGGGCTTTTATATGACATTTTTATTTTTTGCTGGCATATGCCCAGGTATGGGTGGAATAGCTGTTGATTTTTTTGAGGATCTGCCAGACTGCCTTCTAGAATGTGCCAGTTATATATATTACAAGTTTGTCCTGATACGAATACTCCTTTCTCATTCAGCAGATATTCCTCAAGTGCCCGTGTGTGAAGCGTTGTGCCAGGCTCTGGGAGTGGGTCTGTGGAGACAGCACAGCCCCTGTCCACCATGACAGTTAGTAAGGCAGACAGGCAGTGCAAGACCTGAGGACATCATCTAGTATATTCGAAGTGATATGTTCTGAGGGGAAGAACAGGCCGCCAGATGTCGGATTGTTGGGCTTTTAACCATGGGCAAGGGTAGGGTCCACCCTTGTGTGGGTGCTAGATGAATGCACCTAGTGTGGGTGCTAGATGAATGGGCCTGAAGGGGTTCCCTGTGGGTGTCAAGGGGAAGCACCCCAGGCCTAGCTTATACAAAGCCATGAAGTAGAGGAGGGATTGGCTGCATGATGAACAGCAGGGTGGGTGACTGGTGTCAGGATTTCACATAAAAGTCCCCCCTGGCAGCTCTGAGGACAAAGATGGTTTGGGGCAGTGGAAGAAGCCGATGGTCTGGGTGAGGTGGGCCTGCGAGAGTGTTTGGCTCTGCCGAGGGCCTTGTTTGGCTGGTTTTATTTCCAAGCCCTTCCAGAACTATGGCTTGACCCTTCAGCAGGGGCGAGGTTACTCTTCCATTCCTTCCGCCAACACAAGAGAGAGGACAGGCTCCGGCGGGGGGATAGGGCTGAGGACTCGACTGCCAGCTTGGTTGCAGCAGCCGAGCCGGGAAGCCGGTGAGCGTGTTTGCAGGGCCCTGTGCCCCCGCCCTCTCTGTGTTCTCAGGCGTGGCCCACAGAGCTTTCGACAATGATGTGGATGCGCTGTGTAACCTGCGCGAGTTCTTCACCTTCCTGCCCCTCAGCAACCAGGACCCGGCTCCCGTCCGCGAGTGCCACGACCCCAGGTGGGTGGCAGCTGGCTGGTGTGTCTCTGTTCTGGCAGGACCTCCGGTCAGATTGGAGCAGGTTGCGGAGTATGTCACCAAGGTCCCAGCTGGGGCGAGGATGGGGGCATCTGGGGACAGGAGCAGTGGTCGGTGATTTCCTCACTTTCCTAGTTTCTGATGGGTAGTGTTGGGGGCTGAGAGACCACAGAATTTTGCTAAGACGTGATAAGGAACAACCAAAGCGATGCCAACAGCATGTCCTTAAGGAAGTGTGTTTGTGTTCACTGCGTCTGGCTGAGGGTGGCGCTTTGCCGACTCCCTTGTGAGCTGGTTGGTTCTCTAAGGAAGCTGGCACGAGCTCTGTCTTGATCTCTCCCTGCCAGAGAACAGGCCAGGGTTTGACAGATCCCAGGAGATTCTGTCCAGTGGCCTGCAGTTTTGCTGCTTAACGGGGCTGCAGCTGATTAACCTGCTGGGGGACAAGAGCCCACCGTGGCTCCTTGATCTTCTGTCTTAGATGCTACAGGAAGCTAGAGTGGGGTCCCCAGGCTTTGTCCTATTCTCTACAGTCTCCAGCATAGGGAGCATTCCAGAAGAAATACCATCAGGGGCACTCTCATTTTTTTTCTGCTTTGTTTTGTTTGCAATCACATGAGCCGGTACAGCACTCAGGTCCTGTTTAGTGACGTGGTGACAGAGGCAGTGAGGACACATTGCCCAGCTGGGGTGCTGCGCTTCCTTCATTTCCTTCCCGGCTCCCACAGAAGGACGGAGGTTTCTACACTGACTCCATCTGCCTCTTTTCTAGTGACCGTCTGGTTCCTGAGCTGGACACAGTCGTTCCTCTGGAGTCAAGCAAAGCCTACGACATGCTGGACATCATCCACTCAGTGAGTACCCTGTCCTGTGTTGTCTGCCCTAGCTCAGCTTCTGCCATGGCCCACGTGCATTGGCTCAGTGGGATGTATTTGGCTTGGTCTCAATGTTTGCACAGGTAGGACTTGCAGTAGTCAACGGCCAGGGACCCCAGGCGGGATGTTCTGGCAGGAGCTAGTGGCTCTGACATCTTGAGGGCACAGATGGACTTGAGGGCAGGGCCAGCAGAGCTTAGGCCTTTAGAAGGCATTGGGGTGCACAGAATTGGTGCCATATCCTGGCCTGGAGGGAGGCAGGGGTGAGCCTTGTTGGGCACTGCTGATCAGGGCACCACATCTTTCTAGAGAAAGGGAGTGAATCTGAGCTCAGAATGTGTGTGGAGCCCTTCCCTTGGTGCAGCCATGTCCTGGTTTGATCAGTGAAGGCAACTCTTGGGCTCTGGGCACATCTGCAAAAGGCAGTTGTCTTCTGCACACTCACAGTACTCCCGAAGCCCTTGCTTGGTGGAGTGTCGATGGCTCTGTGGCCTCAGCCGGCCCTGGAGCCTGTGACCTGTTTCTCCTACCTTATTCTGGGAGTCTGCGGGAAGTAGCAGGCCTGGCCAGGCCACCCCTCCTCATGGCCATGTTCTGAACCATTGGGCAAGACATCTTACCACAGGGGAACATTTATGAAAGATTTTGCATGAGGGCAGAAATAAAACATTAAGTTTGATAAAAAGACAAAAATGATAAATAATTGGCTGGTATGGTGCTCAGCAGGGGAAAGGGCCCTGCCACCAGGCCTGATGACGTGAACGATTCCCAGGAACTCATGGTAAAAAGAGCTGATTCTTCCAAGTTGTGTCTGACCGTGTGCACACTGTGGCACATGCTTGCACGCGTGCACGTACACACACATTTTGGAGGAGATGATGAGATGGCTCGCTTGGATGCCAACCTGACTGCATCTGGAATCAACTAAAACCCCAGCTGCTGCGCACACACACTGGGAAGGGTTTTCTCAGTCAGGTTATTGAAGCAGGAAGACTCACCCTAAATCTTGGTCACACCTCGGTGGCACCCAGATAAAGGACGTGGACGAAAGAAATTTCTTGCCTTTTGCCTGCTGCCCTCACTCACCCTGCAAAAACATCTGTCCTGTTTCTGCGGCCATTATTTAATGCAACTTCTTCAAGATCTCAACATAGACTGAAGACCAGCAGCACTCCAGGAACCCAGTTCCATGCTGAAATACCCAGACCACATCCCGTGAGCTAGACTAATAACTTTCCCATTAATCTCCATCCATCCGTCCATCCATCCATCTATCCATCCATCTGTCTGTCTGTCTGCGTACTATCAGTTCTGGTTCTCTAGAGAACCCTGATTAATACACTTGCCGCAGTGGTTCAGATACTGCTGCTCTTACAGGAGACTCAGGTTTGCCTCACTGCCTCCATGTGACAGCTTACAACCATCTGCAACTTCAGCTCCAAGGGATCTCTCTTCTGGCTTCCGCAGGCACCGCCTGCGTGTGGTGCACACCAAACACTCAGACACATAAAACAAAAACAAATCTAAAATATTTAAAACTTATAAACAGTACTTCTCTAAACTAGAGGTCGGAAGTACCACAAGACCTGGGAAGAAATCTGTTAGACAGTTCCTGAAGGAGAGGGAAATATGAAACACAAATGACATTGGATGAAAACACTGTTTACCAAAACTTTTGGACGGTGACAGAAGAGTATATTTGAGACAATAAGAATGGCAGAAATCACTAGATAAATTTAGTTTCCATCTTAAAAACATAGGGGCCCTTCCCTGGAAAACATCCTAACTATGTCACAACTACAAATAAGTGAAGAAAATGGTGATGTAGGAGGTGAGCCAGGGGTAGACTTAAGCAAATGGAGTCATGCCCTTGTTTCTTAGCCTGGGTTAGCATAAAATGCCAGTTCTTCCTAAGTATAATTTGAAGGCAGTTTGAATAAACACATTTATTTGTTTGTTGATTTATCAGTTTATTTTTGGTTTTTTGAGACAGAGTTTCTCTGTAGTCCTGGCAGTCCTAGACCTACTTTGTAGATGAGCAGGCCTCAAATTCACAGAGATCTGCCTGCCTCTGCCTCCCCGAGTGCTGGGATTAAAGGTGTGCACCGCCACTGCCCGGCTTGAATAAATACTTCTCTAGAACTAGACACGTTTATACATAAGTTTATACACAGTCACTGCGAATGTGCTGCAGAAGCCACATGTGGGAATAGCCATGTCTGTGTTGCAGCTTTCCAGCTCACACAGTGAGAGAGGCTGGCATGTAAATAGACCAGCAGAGTGGAACTGAAGAGCTAGAAATAGACCCAGGAGAGTCTTAGCAGATGACAAAAATAGACGCATGCCCAGGAGCAAGGTTGCTGTTCTTAATAGAAGATGCTGTGACAGCTAGAGAGCCACGTGGGAAGAAACAGACGGTACATCACATGACAGAAGGGGACAGCTGATGAGCGTGCAGAAAACGTCAGTGCCGAGTTGCTGCCCATGTAAAGTACAGGAAAATGTCACAAACAAACACAGAGCAGAAATTCACTAAGAGCGGATGGTGGGTGGGTGAGTTAGTTATTTTGTGTAACTCTATAAGCAGAGTTCTAGAAGCAAGGAAATTAATTTTGTCTCATAGTTTCATGGTCTTTTGGGCCATGGTCTTTTGGACAGGAAGTGTGGGGGCACATAGGAGGGTTCCAGACAAGACCTGTCCATAGTGAGTCACTTCCTAGAACTAGGCCCCACCTCCCACCTCCACCTGTCACTAAGGCTGTGAAGGGAGAGATGGGTTTTGATAATAGGTGTTGATGAGTCCAATCAAGTTGAATTAAGATCAGTTAGCACAGTGGGAATATTGTCAAAGCGATGGGAGAGAGACACTATTAAACTATATGCATTTTTGACATAGTAAAACAAAATGACCGGGAAGGTTATTTACTTATTTATTGGTTCTGGGAATTAAACCAAGGGCCCCATGTATGCAATTGCTCTCCACTGAGGCGTGTTCCTAGCCCAGATGAGCAAGGATGGAATTGCTATAAATAAATAAATATTGAATTAGTGCTGAAAGCTTTGTGTTTTAGTCATGTGGATTGTTAGGCCTCTGACCATTTTTGTCTGTGTTTGAGAATTAAATAAGTGTGTTTTGAGGATCGTGGGAGTCAGAGTTGGATTGTTTGGGAGGGGGTGGTCATGAGAAGGGAAGGGTAAACTGGAATGAACTCAGTGCCTTAGACCAAAATTGTGTATTTGTGTCAATTCATAGTTTTTCTGTACATGTGTGTTTGGAAGTGGGTGTGTGTGCATATGTATTTGCTTGGTTCTCTGTAACAGATTAGACATGATGACATACTTGGTTTTGTTGTTGGTTTTTCAAAACAATGTTTCTGTGTGTAGCCCTGGCTCTCTTGGAACTCACTCTGGGCTTGAACTCAGTAATCCGCCTGCCTCTGCCTCCCAAAACCTGGAGTAAAGAGATGCACCATTATCACCCGTTGACACACAGTCTTAAATGCGAACTCCAGCCTGGTTATGGGGCTGGGGCAGGAAAGAAATAGAACTGAATCTTAAATTCCAGAACTTAAGTAAGGTTCATTTAAGGACACAGTAGAAGAGAACAGAAGCTTTCTTGAAGGGGTGCTCATGGGCAAAGATGGACAATTTGAACATAAAATAATAGCAAGTGTACAGATTATACAGCATAAGAACCATTAATCATGTGAAATTGAATAAGTAGGGCCTTTTTTTTTTTTGAGATAGGGTCTCTATGGCTGTCCTGGAACTCACCATGTAAAGCAAGCTGGCCTTGAACTCACATAGATCTGCCTACTTCTGATTACCGATTACAGCCGTGCACCACCACAGGTGGCACTAGGCACCAAATTGTTGATGCATGTGCGGAGCCATGGAATGGCTGTGTGACTCCTGCCTGCCTGGAATCTATGATGCACATTGTGCCTTGCATGGTACAGTGAGTTTCCATCCCTGGACCGCAGCTGCTGCTTTGAGCTTTGGAGAGGTTTGTTCAACCGTTTAGATTTGGCAGGTATCAGCAGGAGAGCTCGCCTCCCGCTTACCTGAGAAATTTTCTCCTGCTTGGAGAATTTCCTTGAGAATATCCTGCTTTGCGATTTTCACTGAAACTAGTTCCTCCCCCCAATTGCTCATTCTTATTCTTTATAAGCTGTAACCTAAAGAACAATAAACTGAGACTTGATCAGAATTCTGTCTTGTCTCCATTCTTCATGGCTCCTGTTCCATCCCATTCCCACACCCCCCTCCAGGTTCCTCGCTGACAGTCCGCGGGTTGGACACATGAAATCTTGATAAAGAGAAGAAGACATGTTTATTATTAATTGGACTGGGAAAAGAGTAAACTTGATTGAGGAGAACCCAAACAGAGCTCACCATTATAGGACAGACTGACATCTTCACCACTTGCTGTGAGCTACTTAGAAGTGAGAGTCATGAAAAAAAAATCACAAACAGACCTGAACAAGAAGGCACTCTGCACCTGATAACTTGCTTGCTTCTTGTCCTCAGCGATGTCGTGATGGACAGTAGCTACTGTCCGAGGACATCGTCCGAGGACAGTGAAGACTGCTGGGTGAAGAAGCGTAAGGGCCCAGAGACTGGATCCCTCAAGACTGTGAGGTGGTGCAGTACAAGTTAGCACTGCGTTCACCAACATCGCCTGTTCTTCAGGCCCCGCAGTGAGGTCAGGCAGTGTCCTTGTTCTTAGCCCGTCAGACTCAGATGAAGAGCATATCTGTAACTTAGTCTCCATCCAGGGAACATTACCTGCATATAAACAAAAGAGGCCACTGTGGGGAGAGAGAATGGTAGTGACATTAGTAATATGAATGTTTTTTGCACTGTTCTTTTCTTAGAAAGGGGTGTCTGGGTGTGTGTGAGTGGGTATGTGTGTAACATGAGTGCGATACCAGTGGAGGCCAAAAGAGGGTGTTGGATACACTGGAGCTAGAGTTAACGATGACTGTAAGCTGCCCAACATGGGTGCCGGGACCCAAACTCAGGTCCTCTGCAAGAGCCGCGAGCGATCTTGATGTCTGAGCCGTCTCTCCAGTCTTCTCTACTAGGCTTGATGATTTTATGTAAGCTTGAAATCATTTCATACAGCTCACCACAGTTAATGCCAGTTTCCTATTTTACAGCGAGCTGTGCTGTGTGCTAGGGTCCCGCCCCTTCTGCTGCCGCAAGGGAAGGAGCGCTGTGCTGAGCTGGGCTGTCTGTCATCCTCTGATGGGCTGATGATAGCTATGTATCATAGCATTTCTGTCTCAATCCTTTTGAGCTCAGGAGGAACTTTATTCCTACAGGTGATTGATGAGAGAGAGTTTTTTGAGATCATGCCCAATTACGCAAAGAACATTGTTGTTGGCTTTGCAAGAATGAACGGGAGGACCGTCGGAATTGTTGGCAACCAGCCCAAGGTGGCCTCAGGTAAGATGGGTCCCAGAAAGCCCTGGTTGGTTCTGGGGACCAGGGCTGCCTGCACTCTTGGTATCCTGTCTGCCTTCTGCCCTTCCATGACCAGGGGAGAAACTCAAAGGCATGTTGTGAAGGTGTTTTCCTCTCCTAAAGGTAAATATTTCAGAAGCCCCTTTCACAGCTGGGTTCTTGGGGTTTAAAGGTAACGTTCCTTCTTAGCTTAGAGGGTATTGTTTTTAAGGATGGCCTCTCTGTTCCCCCTCACTGAGGGGGCCGTTGTCTTCATTGTGTCTCCAGTGTCATTGACAGTAGCCGCAGACAGTGGTTAGTTAGCACCTGAGATATGAACAGCACCTCTCACATGGGGTGACGTGGTCAGACCTGAGGCGTAGCTGGCTGAGGGGAAGTCCTCATAGCCATGTAGGTGGGGTCTGTGGACACTGCCTCTCTTCACTGTTGTCCCTTGACTTCAGAAAACAAGTCAGTGTTACTGTCAGCGGGTGTTACTGCAGCATGTGCTTATAGTCATGACACTGGGTAGGCAGGGTGAAGCAGGAGAACCCTGAGTTCAAGGTCAGCCTGGGTTGCATCATAAGACCTGCTTTGACAGAAGCAGCAGCAGCAAGAGAAATCACACCACATTTCCAATTTCTTCATTAGCATTTATTATATTCACTGTGGACAATGTCACTGATGCTTCCAAAAGTTTTCACCACCTAAAGCACATAGTTGTGCCCCATTAACATGAATTTCCAGTTTGTTTGTCTGTCAGAAGGTTTGTCTGTCTGTCTGTCTGTCTATCTGTCTCTCTATTTCTATCTATCTTCCTTCTTTCTGTGAGACAGGTTCTTTCTAAATAAATAGTCCTGGCTGGCCTCAAACTGCACCTGCCTCTGTTTCCCCGGTGCCCAGTGCTGGGGTTAAAGGCATGCACCACCATGTTTGGGTCATTTCTGTGTCTTCTCTAAACATTATATGATTTTAGCTCTTATATTTTGGTTTGGTTGAGTGTAGGCTAATTTTGTGTGGTGGTCCAGCTTTGTTCTGCATGTGGAAATCGAATTATCTCTGTTTCTAAATTTGGGGTATTTTCACCATGAAAGGATATGCTGAGTGTGGACCACCTTTTTATTTTTGTTTTTAAGTAGACTTTATATAAGTAAATTGAAAAGAAGAATTGTGTGTGTGTTTGGTGGGGGTGTCTGTGTTCATAATTTCTATGCAGACTATTATGAGTTCCAGTTGTTGTTATTCATAAATGATGTTTTTATATGCCTTTTATATATTTTTGTTTGTTTTTGTTTTTGTTTTTGTTTTTGTTTGAGATAGGGTCTCTCTGTAAATCCCTGGCTGTCCTGGAACTCACAGAGATCTACCTACCTTTGTATTTCAAGTGCTGAGATGACAGCCCTGTGACACCACATCTGGCATTATATAATTTTCATATTGAACTAGTTAATAGAATATTGAAAAGCAGTGAGTGGGTCTCCGGAAGTAACCTTGGCTGACCTTGACCTCAGTGTATACACTAGGCTGTCTTCCAGCCTGCTTTTCCTGTCTGCCCTTTCTCTTTGCTGTGCTAGTTCCTGCTTTTCCTAGGAGACTGGCTCTGTCACCATTAGATATGATGATGGCTGTAAGATTTTGGTAGATGTTCGTTATAAACTCTGTAAAATTCACCTATTAGAAATCTAATAGGCTGGAGGCTTTCCCCCCTTTTATTTATCATAAATGGTCACTGGATTTTGTCAAATATTTTTCCTGCATTTATTTATATTGTTAGTGAATTATTTTTGGCCTGTTAAAGTTGCAGATCATTAGATTAACCACTTTTCAGTGACTGAACCAAACTTGCTTACTGAGTTAAATCACATTTGGTTGTGGCATATAGTTCTTTTCATTCACTGTTGTGTGTCACAGTGTTCTGTTGACCTTTTGTGAGCTGATGAGAGATACTGAGCCTTAGGTGACTTTTCTGGTGGTGTCTTTGGTTTTGGCATTAGGGTAACCCTGATGTTATGAATAAGTTTGGTAATAGTTCCTCTGTTTTTATCTCATTGACAAGATTGTAGAGAAATGGTAAAATTTATTCCTGACACTCTCATACATGTCTGGTCTTTGTTTTTAAAGTGAAACAGAAAAGAAAAAGAGTTACAAAGCAAAGGACTATAATCCTGGCTATTTGCTTTTACAATTCCCTGTCCTGCGGGTCTTTGTTTCTTCAGATAGCCTTGTATTGTGCCTGGCCTCTTCTCTGTCTTCCCCAGAGCACCTGTGGAACACTCATTATAGAATACATCTAGGGTAACTAACTCCTCAGCCTATTTATCTTGGAAGGTCTTCACTTTTCACTTTTTCTTCCTCTTTGAAGTGCTGTTGGTACAGAATTATTAATTGACAGCTTTATTCATTTAACGTTTACAATGTGTCATCTCACTGTCTTCTGGTTTTCAGGATATCTACAGATATGGCATTTGATAATATTTTTTTTGTGTGTGTGGGAGGGTGCTTTTCAACACAGTGTTTCTCTGGTTAACAGCCTTGGCTGTCCTAGAACTTTCTTTGTAGACCAGGTTGGCCTTGAACTCATGGAGACCCTCCTGCCTCTGCCTCCCAAATGCTGAGTTTAAAGGCATTCACGACTATGCCAGGCTCCAGACTGGCTGAGTTCTGAATCAGGCAAAATAGAGAGTCTTATGCTCTTCCCACAGCTGTGACAGTGGAGAGCAGACTTAAATAGGAACTTCTGAATGAAGTTGGCTCTGTATCCTCCAGATCCAGGGAGGATAGGTTTGTGATTCAAGCTAGAGGTTTATACACATTTAAAGCATATTTAGTTAATATAAACAGCAACACGCACAGCTCTTGGGGCACAAATTGTAGCTTACTGTAGAGTGTATTGCTGAGCCTGCCTACCCTATGCAGGCTCGGGATTTGAGTTCCATGACCTACCTCCTAAACCCCTGGCCCCTCAAGGAAGCTGGACCCTCAGCTCCTCCTCGAGCTGGGTCCTGATAGTGTGGCTGTTCCACACTCCTGTGATCACCACCTAGAACAGGCTCTGCCCATTGTGGCAGTGCTTTCCGAGGGAGCCTCACTTTCTGAGTTCTCTGTGTCCTCTGGATATGAATCCTGTTGGAGGACATTTGATCCCATTGTGAACCCCCAGGGGGTCTCCTGCATGCCCCCAAATCATTCAATTCAGTCATTTTCTGTCAGCCGTGAGAAACTCAGCCACAGAGCAATTAAAAGATTTAGTACCTGTTGATAAGAACAACACTGCTGTGGATGTAATCAAGGACAGAACATTTTCAGTAGATAAAAGAAAAAAATCAAAAAGACCACAAAACAATATATTGGCAAATTGCTATAAATGATCAGAGACCTAACCTAAAAATAAAAATAAATGGCATTGGAATTGAAGGTTTAGTAGACACAGGAGCAGGTGTAACAATAATTTCACCAAAGTCTTGGCACCCAGATTGGCCTCTTTAGGAAGTAAATCTACAGCTTCTAGGGATTGGAACTTTATCTCAAGTAAAACAAAGTACAAGATGGGTAAGGCCAGAAGGATAAATAGGAAAAGTAAAGGCATATATGGCTAATATAGCTATGAATTTATGGGGATGTGATTTGTTACATCAAGGAAAACACAGATTAATATTCCCACAATCTCAGAAACAAACTATAAAATAAAGAATGCTTCTAAGAAAAATAATAAAAGGTGTTATCGAGAACAGTCACAGTTTGTCCAGGTTGTCCATAAGCAGGACATGATAGGTGTTGGTCTTTCAAAGGTACTGACTAACAAGCCTGTATGGGTGGACCAATGGCCTATAAAAAAATGAAAAAAATTATAGGTACTAGAACAGCTGGTACAGAAGCAGCTAAATGCTCATCACATTGAGGAATCTACCAGTCCATGGAATTCCCCTGTGTTTGTTATAAAAAAAAAATCAGAAAAATGGAGGATTTAAGAGATTTAACAGATTTAAGAGCCATAAATAGATAAATAAGATGATTCAGCCAGTGGGCTCTTAACAGCCTGGAATCGCATTGTCTTCTTTATTACCTAAGTCACGGCCTTTGATAGTAATTGATTTAAAAGATTGTTTTTTACAATCCTTTTGACATGAGCATGATAGGGAAATGTTTGCTTTCTTAGTGCCAACTTATAATAATAGTGGTCCTATAAAGAGATATCATTGGAAGGTATTACCACAAAGAACGTTAAACAGTGCTTCCTTGTGCCAGTATTTTGTACAACAGCCATTAGAAATAATTCATAAACAGTTCCCTCAATATAAAATTTACCATTATATGGATGATATCTTACTGGCTGATTCAGATGCAGATACCTTAGGAAAAAAAATGTTTGATCAAATAAAGAGAATTTTGCCTTGCTGGGGATTAAAAATCGCTCCTCCTAAAAAAATACAAAGAGGAGATCCTGTCAGTTATCTAGGGTATAAGATAAGTTTACAGAAAATTTGACCACAGAAAGTACAAATCAGGAAAGATCAATTACAAACTCTTAATGATTTTCAGAAATTGCTGGGAGATATTAACTGTCTATAGCCCATAATTGAATTAATTATGTAAGAGCTGAGTAATTTATTTCAAACCTTACTGAAAGATCCCCGGAGGGTATCTTCCGTCTGAGAGACCCCCTCCCAAGGAACAACGAGGCCATTCGGATGCAAACAGCAAGAGGCTTTTATTTTGATACACGGGTACCGGGGCAGCAAGGTCATTCGGATGACTTTGTGCGCCCCCTGGGTGGAAAGCTGGGGTTTTTATAGGGTTTTAGAGCAGAAGCGTGGGTACAGAAGCGAGAAGCATGGTTACAGGGGGCTGATTGGTACGTTTACATGAGACCACGGTTTGCGTCAAAGTTTGGCAGGGACACCAAGATTCCAGGAACTGGGTGGTCGAAACAGTCATGATGACCCCCTGACGTGGCCCGCCACCTGCTGTTTTCCTTAGGACCCTTATCTTAACTGGAACAGTCT